AAAAGGTAAGACAAGCAAAACATAAGAAAGAAATACTGTTACAAAGCCATTTGACCCCTGCAGGCCTGATTTTCCTCAACTGCATAATAAGAGGCTGTTCTAAGTCATGATTATGGTCCCTTTTGGCTCCGGCCTTCTGAGAGTGCAGCAGGTCCTCCAATCATGCTGTATTGTTCAACATGGTTTCGTTAGAACATTGATGAGTTGCCATAGGAACTTAACTCTTGTTTATATCAATTAGCCTGTGCTAAAACTGGTTTCGTTATATGTTGTTTCACTTAAATCACAGAACCTATCGATGATGTTAAGTGAGGGCTGACTGTTTAAACAGCAAAAAGAGATACAGAGACAGAGAGGCAGAAAGACATCAACAGAGAGGGAAACGGATTAACCAGTGAAAACCACTGGTTCCTGCATTGCTTGGTCTGTTTATGGTACCAAGGAAATTTGGCATTTAAATAAAATATTTAATCAATGCCAATGGCAGGCTTAGAGGTTGGGAAATAATAGGTTACTGAGCCTAGACTCATTGAAGTTGAAAGTTCAACAAATAATAATATGGTTGATATTATAATTAGACCCAAAGAGAAAAAATTCTTTTGATGGACCAAGAAGATTGATTCATTCATCTTCAAGCTATTCCAATACACTTTTTGTTAATATAATGAGTGCAAATTTTTATTTATTTGGTAGAAATCATATTGAACATTTATTATGTGTCATGAGTTGTTTTGGGTGCTGGAAACATGAAGATATAAAAGGTATGATTCCTGCCATTTAAGATCTCACTGTCTGGCAGGAGATACAGAAACATAAATGGACAAACATGATGAAATAATGTAAGGGTGGCAAGTAGTAAGGAGCTCAAACAGGAAGGCTGCTTGGAGGACTGGACAGCTGAACTGACGTTGGCCTTCCAACCAGTGGAACTCTCATTAACAAAGTCACAGGAGGGAAAATATAGCCTGATTGATGCAAGGGACTGTAAATGTTTTATTGTTGCTGGAAGGTAAACGAAAGGGAAGAGATGCAGCTATAAAAAAATGGCAAAGGGCAGATTGCGGAGCGTTCTTTCCATGTTAAAGAGTTTGAACTTTAGAGGTTATATGCAAATATTGTGGGATTTTAGGTTGAGAGGTAGCACGGCCAAATAGGCATTTCAAACAGACTTCTCTGGAGGCTGAGGAGGACAAATAGGAAGGAATTTCAAAAGGAAAGTGGAGGTGAAACTAATTAGGCCATTTTAGTAGTCCAGGGCAACGGTAGTGGAGATAGAAAGGAAGAGATACTTCCAGCAATGTTTGGAAGACAAAAAAATGGCCAAACTTGTTCATTGATTAGATGAATAGGGTGAGGGAGACCAAAGAGATAGGCTGACAAGTTGGATGATCTAACCACCAACTAAAACAAAATATAGGAATAGAAATAGGCTTAGAAGGGATGAAAATCAATTAAATTTAGGATGTGTTGAATTTGAGATGTCCATGTAGGAAAATCCTACGTGGAGTTGGACTAACACAGATTAGTTATCAGCACATTGTCAAGAGTTGAGTTGAGTATATTTAAGACCAACAAGAAAGGTGCAAAGACAGAGGGTCTAAAGGAGAACCCAGAGCAACACCTCTGTTGAAGAGACAGATAAAAGAGGACTTGGGCAAGTGGAGTTATAGGGTAACAAAGCCCAGAATTTGAAAGCCAAGGGAGTTGTGAATCCTGGGTTGAAGGGAGTGATCAAAATCAGAAATGCTGTCCTGGATAGTGTAGCTGGAGCACTGGCCCTCACACCAAAGGGTATTGGGTTCGATTCCCAGTCAAAGGCACACACCTGGGTTACAGATTTGATCCCAGGCCCTGGTTGGGGCTCGTGTGGAAGGCAACCGATCGATGTGTCTGTCTCACATTGATGTTTCTCTCTCTCTCTTCCTCCATCCCTTCCACTTTCCCTCCTCCCCACCCCCAACCACAAAAAAAAAAAAAGGAAAAGAAAAAGCAATAGAAAAATATTGTTGGGTGAGGATTTTTTAAAAAATCAGAATTACTGAATAGGCATTTTTTTTTGAGAAGTCATTCTTCTGCACAGAAGTTGAATCTAAAAGTGCCTGGGTTGCGGACTCAGTCCCCAGTAGGGGGAGTGCAGGAGGCAGCCAATCAATGATTTTTTCTCATCATTGATGTTTCTATATCTCTCGAAAGAGATCACACAATTCTTCTTTATCGATCAATTTTAAATGACTCACCTAAAATCTCTTGTCCTTCTGTTCAGAATATGCCCGTTCAGGTCCTGTCTTGTGGGGAAACAAAATATAGTCACTTGCCATTACTCAATCAACTTCCATATGTTTGATTTAGATCGTTTCTGATTTTCTTCAGATCACTCCCCCAAGTTCTTTCAAGTTTCTGCAGTTTCTCCACCATTTAAATGTTTTTTTAGCCATCCCCAGAATTTTTCCAGATTCTCTTTATTTTCTTTCCTGGATAGCACTTTAAAACTGAAATATACTAAGAGCCTGGTCAGTAGAGGCAGTAAGTGTATTCTCTATATACTAGTGTCACACTGAAAGAAAATTAATTAGAAGAAATATTTTAATATTGCTGTTTGCCCTTTCTCTATAATAGAAGTGTCAACCAAATTCACAAGTGACAATGACAGATCGAAACACACATGTGCAATTGGCACTAGTGAGAGCTTTATATGCATCATGCATGTGTGAGTCAACTTAGCCTTTTATAGATAGAGAATAAACTTGCTTAATTGATGGGGCATGAGAAAATGCTTCACAAACATTTGGTTAAATTGTAAAATGTTTGCACCTGGCTATAAAGCAAGTTGGGTTCCTGGGCTGAAGACCTCCAAGGAGGCTAGTCGCTAGGGAGAGGAAACTGGGTGTTGCTACGTGATGTCATTCCCTGGAGCCCACAGTGACTATTTCTGGGCTTGGCTGGGCTGTCGGCTGCATTTTGCGCCACGGGGTCATGGCAGCATTGGCTGCGATTTGGTGGGGTGTCACTCTGGTGGTGGGGCCTGTGTCCCACTTGGGGGAAACTGAGTGTTGGATGGCCGTGGTGCCGTTTATTTTTAAATGGCCAATGTGCATCATGGCAACTCCTGTGTTGAGCATCTGCCCCCTGGTGGTCAGTGCATGTCAGAGCTACTGGTCGGACAGATGGGCACAGCCTTTTATACATAGAGTTGAGCATCGTGCTTGTTTTATATCAACAGGGGTTCTTGGTACCTCTTTCTTTTGCAATTCACAGTTTGGCTTTACACAGCCAGATCTACTTTAAGTCGTATCATAAGAAGTATATATACTTACTAAAATTTTAGATTGGGAAGAAATAGGACTCATCTAGTCTATTTTCCCACTTAAGGATTTTTCCTACTACACCTCTCCTACTCTTGTTTTCTCTCCAAGTCAAACTCAAGAAAATATT